GGACGCCCGAAATGGGTACGGAAAGAATGGGTACAATGCCCAACAACAAATGTTGTCCCAAACCAACAGCGGCCGCTGTTGGGCAGGCGGCCTTCTGTCTTAAATGGACATAGGCCGCGGCGGCGCGGACAGCGAGTCCTGTTCAGAATGAACAGGAACTGCTGTTGGGCATTGTACCCATTCTTTCCGTACCCATTTCGGGCGTCCAAATATGTGTTTTGCATCGGTTCCCGGGGGGTCTTTAACCCCAGGGGGGAGGGTGGTCGAACCTATCTCTCTTTAGAAAGGAGAATCGACGTGGTGCGATCTATTTGGCACAGTCAATGCGGTGTTCTCTGTGGTGCAAACTATCGCGTGCAGTTATTTTCTGTTCGCAGTGAGTTGTCCACTCCACTGCTCGCGCAAACATCCCACCCACCTACCCGCAACTTGGTTTGCAAAATCTCTTAAGACCGTGACGGTGGGTACCACATGGCACTTGACAACAACAGCGACGCCGACGACGACAGCGACAACGACGATGACGACGCCGCCGACAACGACTACGACGACTCTGACGACGTCTCCAACGACTTCGACGACGCCGACAACGACGACGACGACGACAACGACACCGACGACGACGACGACGACGACGACACCGACGCCGACGACGACGACGATGACAACGACGACGACGATGACGACGCCGACGACGACGATAACGACGACACCGACGACGACGACGACGTCAACGACGCCGACGCCGACGCCGACGCCGACGCCGACGACGACGACGACGACGACGACGGCGGCGACGACGACGACGCCGACGTCGACGACGACGAAGACGACAACGACGCCGACGCCGACGACGAAGACGACGACGACGTCGCCAACGAAGACAACGAGGAAGGAGGGAGGACGACGACGGCGACAACGACGACAACGACGAGGGAGGAAGGAGGACGGCGACGACGCGAACGACGAAGAAGGAGGAAGGACGGCGACGCCGACGACGGCAACGACGAGGGAGGAGGGAAGACGACGACGACGACGACAACGACGACGACGACGACGGCGACGAAAGAGGAGGACGACGACGAGACGCCGACGACGGACCACGACGACGACGAGGGAGGAGGAGGAAGGACGACCACGGCGACAACGACGACGGAAACGACCACGACGCCAAAGAGGACGACGACGACGAACACGAGGAAAGACAGAGGACGACGTAGGCGACGACGACGACGACAACGACGCGGGAGGAGGGAGGACGGCGACGACGACGACGACGACGCAAGAGCGCGCGCGCACGCTTTTGTTGAAAATCCGTGTTGCGAAAGTTTGTTTTTTTATGTTTTTTGGACAACCCGATTTTGAAATCCTTCCGAAACCGATGGGTTTTGAAGGTTTTCGGCATACGCGCGCGACGACGCGCGCGTCTGCACTTCGTCCCATTTTTTGCAGGGGATTCTCGCGACGGCACACAAGGGCGTTCGACAGATTTGGACATGAGCGCGCGCGAAGCCCGTTTGATAGCATTTTGTGAAAACCTTGAAAAACCCTTGGTTTTCCTAAGATTTCGCAAGAGCTCGCGCGGAAGTTTGTTTAGCAACTCTGTGTTGCGAAACCCTGTGATTTTGTATGTTTTTGGGAAACTCGATTGCGAAATCCTTCCCGCACCGAAGGTTTTTGAAGGATTTCGGCATCTGCGCGCGACGACGCGCGCGTGTGCACTTCGTCTCATTTGTTGCAAGGGATTTGCGAAAAAGTGTTATGTTAAAACAACAAATGTCACCGCATAGTGTTTTTTACAAAGGAACCTCAGGGGGGGGGAAACCGGCCTAGCTGGGATGGTATGATTTCATATCTAGGATGGACGAGTGTGCAGAATATATATATATAATATATATATATATATATATATATATTTTATATATATTCATATATATAATATATATACACATATATATATATATACGAAATCAGACTATCCCGGGGGGAACCGATAAGTCGGGGGGGGGGTAGAGTCTATTCTCTTTTTAGAAAAGAGAATCCTCGTTGCGGCGACGAGGCGGCGACAGGGCGGATACGGCGAGCGCATGGCCGCCAGACCGCCACCCCGGCCCAGAGGACGGGCGGCGCCGAGTCGGCGACTGGGCAGCGACGGCGAGCACGGAGCCGCCAGACCGCCATCCAGGCCCGGCACCGTAGAAAAGAAACAAGAAGCCCTAAGTGCAAGCACTGTTTGGGGAAGCGTGGTCACCATGGAAGATAATTGGGCAGGGCCGGGCAGCGGTGAGCAACCAGTGAGCACCGAACATCGTGAATTGGCGGCGGTCAGCGATCAGCGGCCAGCAGCGGACAACAGCGAACGACCAGCTAGCAGCACTGGTCGATCAGCGTGCAGACAGGTAGGCTTTTCGTGCTGCTCAACTATTACGCACGGTTTGCTCAGACTTTGCACACTGGTGCCAACTGCTGCTCATTGCTGATCACTGGTGCCCGCAACATGTCAACTGGTTGATTACATTTTGCCCGCTGCTTGCTCTCTAATTCCTCATTGCCGATCACGGGTGTTCATTTGCTCACTGTTCACCACTGCTTATTTCCGATTACCCGCTGCTTGCCCACTGCAGTTTGATGCTGCGGGCAGGGGGCACCCACGCTGATCATTTAGAAGGGGGCATGCCTTTCTGCGGTCGACGTGGATGTTTGCATGGGGGCTGAACAGCGAGCGGCAGTGTGCAGCAACGACCAGCCGCAAGCACCAGTGGGCAGCAATGGAAATAAGTGCGCAGCAGTGAGTTTGCGGCACGGCATCAGCCATCACGCATTGGTCAAGCATTGTGCCGCACTGGACAGACATGATCCGCCAGTGGGCACAAGCGGGCAGCAATGGGCAATCATTGATCATGCAATAGCATCGCTATGATCAGATACTATACCGCACTCAGCAGCACTGGGCAGCATAGACCAGAAGGGAGTACCAGTGAACACTCATGATCCTCACAAGGCAGCACATGCCAGCAGTGAACACTCAGGTAAGTTCAAACGGCAATACTGAGCATTCAAGCCCGGGCAGCGATCTGCAGCGAGCGAAGAGAAATCAGTTGTGATCAGGCTGTGGGCACGTAGTGAACAAGCTGTGGGCCGACAGCGCGCAACAATGATCAACAATGAACAGTACCGCGCAGCAGTGATCACCCGTGAGCAACACTGATCCACATATAATCACAGGCACTGGCCAGCGGTGGGTATGCAGCGAACAGTAGAAGACAACATAAAGTAACATAATACATCAAAAGAACAACAACAACAACAACAACAACAACAACAACAACAACAACAACAACAACAACAACAACAACAACAATTACTAGCACGTGGGGACACTCCGTTCTCACCAGTGCCAGGGTTTTCATACGACGCCCGCCAATACCCCCACTTTGTGGGGGGGCCGGTTCAAGCTCTACCACATTTCCAAACGACTCTTCGCCACCACCCACACCCAGCTTCCCGCCCTATGACGTTCGGACACTTCACTTCGTGGCCTGCGGACGACCGTGGCTACTACACTGGCGCATGGGTACAGTGACTTGTTGTGGTAACATTTTCTGGACGCTAGCTTAGTATACGACTTTTCCCCCTGTTCCAACACTGGACACCTGTACTGGTTTTTGGTGGTAACGTGTTCCTGACGCTAGAATAGGAAACCACGGTAAACCAGTACGACGCCGGTACTGTCTGTAGGTCCCGCCGAAGGTAAAGATTTCGGCGTGCGCGCGCGAAGAAAAAACGAATGTGTCCCGCATGGTATTATTTGACAGGGATGATGGCCCTGGCAGGTGCGCAACCGTTGTTGGAGAAGTTCGAAGCACGTGAAAAAGTTGCTCGCAAAAGCCCGTTTGACAGAAATGTTTAAAAAGTGTTGGGTTTCCTACAAATCCGCAAGAGCGCGCGGGATGAAATTTTGACACTTTTTTTTTGAAAAACCATTGGTTTTTTGATGTTTTTATGTTAAAATCGCTACGAACACTAAGGTTTTGGAAGGATTTCGTCTTGCGCGCGCGAATGTCCACTTTACCTTATTTTTTGCAAGGGATTCTTGAAGTTTGGTTATGTTAGAACAAGAAATGTCCACTTTGCCTTATTTTTTGCAAGGGAAAACCGCCCGTAACAAAACAACCGGATCCGGACCAACCCGTTTTGCCGGAGACTTCCTCACGAAAATGATGAAAACATGGCTGCGGCCTAGGCGCGGCGAGGGGGCCGTGCACCAGGGGTCCCAACAATAATTATTCTTTAGAACTAATAATGTTCAACAACAACAACAACTGGAGTGGGCAAGCCCTGAGCAAGCACTGCGAAGCACAGAGAACGGCACCGAACACCAGTGACAACCAGCGAGCACCACTCATCAACACTGACCAGCGGGGGGCAAGCAATGAGCAGCACTAAGCAGCCGTGAGCAACACCGAGCACAAGTGAACAACACTCAGATTCACTGAGCAACGGCAAGTAAGCAGAGCGCAATAGTGATCGACACTGAGAATCAGTGGCAGCAGTGATCAGCAGTGGATCGTTTGACAAGGGGCGTCGGCACGAGCCCCGAAGGCTCGAAGCTTACCTGGCATGAGCCCCGAACAGAAAGGTGCCCCACAATGCGAAGCTGAGACGACGGCGATGGCTCCTAAGCTTGCCTGGCACGAGCCCCGAAGGGTTCTGCGCACAGAGGAGCTGAGAGTGCAAGCCCCCAAAGATTCGGATCACGACGACGACGACGACGACGACGACGACGACGACGACGACGACGACGACGACGACGACTGTAGTTAAGCTTGCCAGGCACGAGCCCCGAAGGGTTCTGCGCAAAGAGACGCTGAGAGTACGAACCCCGAGGGGTGAAGAGGAGGAGGTGGGAAAGGCAGCACGAAACGCCACCACCAGAACGCCACTTGAGAATCCCCCGCCCTCGCCAAACAACCCCCTTCGGAGCCGCTGCGCCGCGCGGCCTCTCCACGCCGAGAAGCGCTCGCGCCGGAAGCGCACCGAGAGGTTCCAGCTCTCGACGGCACCTGCCGGCCTCACTCTCGCACTCCTCCTTCCCCCCCCCCCTCCGATTCCCCGCCCCCCTCCTTCTGCACCCTTCAACCTACTCGCAATCGCCTTTGCTTGAATTTGTCTTGACAGATTTAGATGTCTCGGCAACGATCGCCGACCACAGTGTTGTATTAGTTCATGTTGTTCTCCCACCTTGTTTCTTCTCGAAGACTGGGCGCCCGCGGTAAACCGTCAACCTTGGTTACCGCCGGGGGACTCGTGGAGCTGCCCTCCTGCACCGTTCCCTCTCCTCCTCCCCCGCACCCCTCCTCCTGCACCGTGCCCTCTCCCTCCCTCCCCCCCCCCCTTCCGTCCCCATCCTCCCGTTCCGCGCGGCCTGCTCCTCCGACTCCTCCGCCCGCGGGCCCTCTCGGCCCCTTTTTGCCGTTGCCAGAGGGGCGGGCCGTGCCGGAAGAAAAGGAGGAGGACGAGGAGGAGGAGGAGGAGGAGGAGGAGGAGGAGGAGGAGGAGGAGGAGGAGGAGGAGCGGAGGAGGAGGAGGAGGAGGAGGAGGAGGAGGAGAAGGATCGGCGCGTCCTGAGGCGGTCGGTGCCGACCGCCCGACGCGCGCCCAGCCGCAGAGGCGCCGAACGCATCGCGCCCCACAAAGGCCCCGCCTGCCACCGCCCCAGGCCCCTCGACAGCAAGGCAAGCTGAAAACCATCACTCGCCACGAGAGCCCTCTTTCTGGCCGCGGCCCCGTGAATGGCTCGGGTCGGGCGAAAGGGGGGGATAGCAAAGGGGGGGTTTGAGAATCAGCTCACGTAGCTGATTTTCCCGGCGCCTCCCGGCGCCGGAGGCGGCATGTATCGAGGAATGGGCCCCTCGGTGAGGCCGAAACCAGCTGCATGCAGCAAATTTCGTAACCCCCCCTTTCCCAATCCCCCCCTTTCGCCCGGCCCGAGCCCTCTTTCTGGCCGCGGCCCCGCGAATGGCGGCGGCCGTGTCCTGTGCCGCATCGTCCCCCGCCACTCCTGTGACGGACGGGATCCTTCTGCCTGCATGGCGTTTTCGCTGGTCACCGATCCGCTGCTGCCGATCACCGCCGCTCTGACTGCCACTGCATAACGATGCCGCGGTCGCAGCTTTCTTCCGCGACCATTTCCACAGCTGCGCCGTCGGTCCCTATCTCGACCGCGGTGGCGGTCACGGTCTCTGCTGCGGTCGCCAGATCTGCCGCGCATGGATTGGCGATCGCCCGATCACAAACTCGAGGTGACTGGAATTGCGGTCGATCTGCGATCTTTCACTGCGTCTCTACGACATTCATAAGATCGATCGAATCGTTGTTCACGTCGCGTCGGCTGCCGCTGTCCCTCGTGGCCGGGTTCGGTTCCACGATTGGCGCGCCCGCGTCATGATTCCACGCTGTTCTGATGGATGCCTTGGGAACTCTAGGCGCTCTTCTTAAATACGCACGTCCAAAACTTGAAAAAACTGTTCGGCGTGCCCCTTTGGCTTCTCAAGCTTGCTTTGGTCGCAGCGCAACTGCGCCTTCAGAGACAGTCTGCCCTGCCCTCCACGAAGTGCCGATGTGTCCACCGCCCCCAATCGGTGGAACGTAGACATCGCGCGAGCACTAGTCGGGCGGTGCCCAGAGGGTAGTTGGGCGACGAAAGCGTATGAGAGCGTCGCGCTGAGGCGCGCATGTGTAGCGTCGGTGGCTGAGATGGTAATGTAATTTGCAGATGCGCATCTAAAAATATACAATGAATCGGCGGGGCGAACCTCGCTCCTTCGTTGAAGCCTGAAGGGGTTACGGCGGGTGACACGATCGCCCCTCTCCTCCCCCGCACTCCCAGGGAGCTCCGCCCGGCCACTTTGGAGGCGCAAGACATGCTGGCAACCCGTGGACGGCCTCTGACAGCTTCGAAATGGTTCCCCAAAAATCCGAAACAATCCCAAATGGCCCCCATTAGCTCCCATGTGGCAGTCAATCGCCCCGAGATGGCCTCGACACAACACCAGAAGCCTCAAAGACACCCCTGAAGGCACCAGAAGGACTTCCACGAGTACCGCAACAAGCAAAAGCCGTCATTTCCTGGGCGATATTTGTATGTTCTGCCTCTTGTTGACTTCTCTTATGATGAATACTTTATGTTGATCCCCCCATCCAGTGACATATTTGTTTTTTCAAATGAAATGCCCCTCCTCAAGCTGCGCCCCTGGCCCCCAATTTACAACAACAACAACAAACTGGCGACGCCCCCTGGCGCTGGTATACGCGGAATACTAAAGCTCTATAACTCCGCGTATCCGATGATAGTGGGCGCCTCCTCCTCCTTATATAAAGAGTAAGAAGAGGCACGCGTGTCAAGGATCATACAATCACGGATGTGGGACACTGGGAGGATGGGAAAGAGGAGGCGGCGGAAAGGAAAGAGGCAGGCCCACCGACGCACCAGGGCGGCGCGGCTGGACAATCTACGAGTGTGGCTTGAGCCTCCAATGTTATCACCCAACGCGCCACCGCGCTCTGCATCCGTCACTACGACCGTCGCATCTCAACACAGTTCACACGGCATGCCACTCTGCGTTTGCGTTCGCACCTCCCCGCGAGAAATGCCCCAGCAAAGTATGCGAAAACTGCGAGTATGCGATTTTAAATCTGCTGAGCCGCAGAAGCGCTCGAGGGGCCCGATGGTGGCGGCCGGCGCCGCTATGTGCAGCAGCAAGTCAGCCCCGTTGCCGCAGGAAGCGCTGGCCCTCCAGTCCCGACAGTTGCAAGATCAGGATGCGCACTGTGCCAGCCCCCTCCTGAATCCCCGCGATGGACCAACAAGGCCCCAGGACAGCTCCAGACTGCCCCAAGACAGCCCAAAAGAGCCCCAGACGGGACCGCACAAGACCCCCAAGAAGCCCCAGAGACGCCCAATAGCACCATGGCCCCGAAGAGTCATAGAGACGCCACTAGCTCACAGTGGCAACAAGTTCTTCACGCTATAGCTCAGCGCGTTGCAGCACTCGCGCGCACCCCCGAAACTGCCGCAGGTTGACGCCAACTTTCTCCGAACAAGCGGGTTTGGCTAGGCGCTTCGCATTCGGCAGCAGGATCTCCAGATCGAGCGCTCTCCTGACTGCGAGGGCCTGGGGGCGGAGTGGCAGAGTCCGACTCAGAAGCCTCAGTTCTGCGTGCTCGGAAGAGGGGGTGGGGGATGTGTCCACTGGCTCCCCGGCGCCTCTAGGGCGCTTCTTCTCCCCCTTCTTCTTCTGGCTGGCCTGCCTGTTCTCCTGGCTGACCTGCCGCGCGATCGAGCCCGTCGGGCTTGGGGGCGGCGCCGGCGCGGCCTCCGATGAGGCGGCCGCGCCTGGAGCACCTGTTGCGTTTCCGCTGTGGTCGGCATCGGCAATGCCCTCTTCGGTCTCTCCAGCGTTTCCGCCGCCGCCTCCAGCGACTCCGCCTTCCCCCCCGCACTCTCTTGACATTGGAGGTCGCGCTCCTTTCGCTCGCGGCGCCCAGAAAGGTCTGCCCAGAGCTGGGCGACAGCGGCGCATTCAATTTCGCCGCAGGGGGCGCGGTGGGCCTCCGAGGGCACAAGCCGCGCGACATCTACACCGTCGCCATGGAGTGGCAGAAACGGCGTGACGCCTCGATTTCGGGAACTGCTACCCTGGTACATGGGGCAGTTTGGGCGGTGTTCCTGACACCCAAAGCATACGCAAACTCGGTGGTTGCTGCGCGGGTCGACGCGCCCCCGCCCGGCCCCCCGCCCCCCCCGGCGTGGGCGGGTGAACATTCCTGCGACGAACCGCGCGATTATGCCCCCATCGTCCCGCTCGCGGCGTTGGCCAGCATGTCAGTGGCGGATCTGATTATTGGCCCAGCCTTGGCCGAGCCAGTAGTCCATGTCCTCGCGAGAGACGCGGGCGCGAGGGCCGCTCCATTCGGGCGGCGCCCTCCACGGGGCCACGCGAACGGCCCCGTGGGACGCGATGCGTCACTGGCATGCCCCACCCAATGTCCCACCCAATGTCCATGAGGTCTTCGGGTGCAATCGCAATCGCAGGCTCGACTCTCTGCCTCGGCGTGCATCGACGCAGTGCGTCTGTTCCCGTCGGCATGATTGTTTCTGCCGAGGGCGTCTACTCATGCGTTTCCGTAATATTGGGCAAGCGGGCATCATGTGGCTCGGCCAGCGTAGCAGGGGCCGCCTCAACTTCGGAGATGCCCCCGTCGCTCGCAGCAGCGTCTCCGTCGAAGTCGGAGAGCGCGCCATCGATCGCACGAGCCATCACCTCTCGGTGAAAATGGACGCACGGTAAGAAGGGCACTTGCTGGGGGGGGGCGAATTCGGGCCTATCGACGCACTCTACGTCCTCGATGGCCTCTCGGCGTTGCCTCTCCCCCCTCCCCCTTTAGAGTCGCACTGGCTCATCGCTTCCGCATCGGTCGCGCAGCGCCCTCTTCCCGCTTCGGCCCATGGAGTCGAGTTTCCTGCCTTCCCCATTTTCCCGTGGAATGGCGCCCGCCTCGACCCTTGGCCCCGGGGGGGGTCCTCGAACTCGGCATCGGGCCTTGTCCGCGCAACTGTCGTTCGCGACGCCCGCCCTTCCCGCGACTCCTCCCCCGTCGGCGACGCACTCTCAGTAATGCCCTACGCGCTCGCCGCGCGGTCTTCTTAATGGACCGCGCCCAGCGGCGCCTTGCGCGCTGAAGCCCAGGCCGGGGAACAAATCTGACACATCTATCAATTCGGTTCCGTCGGACAATAACGCGTCAGGATCTGTCCCAGAGTCCACGGGCGCATCTCCCATGGAGGTCCGGCCCCATAGGGCAGTCTGGCTCCCGGGAGCCGCGCGGGATTGAGGGTTGGAGGGCTGTCCCCAGCCCTGTCGCGCTAATGACGTTGGGCAGCCTCTGCCAGCCCCTGGACCTCCGGGGGCCGTCGAGATAGCGCAGTGGCTTCCTCAGAATCGTTGGGGTCGTCAGCACATGCGTTACTGGGCGCGGCCGCGTTTCCGCCGGCGCACACCGC